TCCTTGTTCTAGATTTATCACACACGTTAACTTGTATTCACGTATAACAAACTTAATAAGAGTTCATTATAGCATGATATACGTACTACATCGAAGGAAATTAGATGAATTTACTTATTTTGTTCTTAGAATGCTATAATATTCAAATAAATCATGAATCAATAATATTAACTTTGTATTCGTTTTACCCCACTCCAACAAATACTTTTGTCAAACTTAATCAGCCCTATTAAAAAACCAGGAATAAGCTTAGACTACTTATTCTGTGTTGTGCTTTTGTTCATATCATTATTACTGTCGTTTGTATTTAAATACCACGAATAGAAACAAAACATGGTGTACCTTATCCAAGCTTGTTCTTCATTTATGAATAAGGTCCCTCTTATTTTATTATGTATTGGTAAGATACAGTCATACTAAAGGCCCCGAGAATATACTCGTAGCACAGAAAACAAAGACAATGTTTTTGTTACTTAGGTTTTCACGCACATCACTCATAAAATTGTTTAATTTTCAACGGGTTAGGTGCAATGATTTTATTTATTTATTAAGGTTTCGCAGCCATTTCAGGAAAGCGTCGTCAGAATAATTTACTCTGAAAAGGCTGCGAAACGTCAATCAATAAATGAAATCAGTATATCTAACCCGTTGAAACTTGTTGAAGTTATACTTCTTTAGGCGCGTTATGAAAAAATGATGAGAGTGAAATTTTAAGATGCGCGCGCATCAGTGTAACACAAAAAATTAACAGCATGAAGTTGGTCGCTTTAGCGACCAATTTCATGCTGTTACTTTTGTGTTTACCGCACATTAAGAAAATCTACCAACAAAATAGAAATAGAATCTCTATTTTGTGGGTGCTAACGACTGCATTGTGAAGGCCTATCAAAAGTATTTATTTATCTGGAACAACGGAACCAAAGCGCGATACAGGAGACTACAGCGCCATCTCTTGACCATTGGTGTAGTAGAACCAAAAACCACATCTTTATTTTTTGTAATAAAGTAACAGTTATAGGTATTTATATTTATAATATTTATCCACATGTTTCTAGTTTGTATATTCGGAATACGTGTTTGAGTTTCATACAAGTGCAAATCACACGTGTTCTAATAAATTATATTCAGTAGCGATTTTATTTATTTTTTCAAATTAAAACTGAACTTTATTGACTGTGTCCTTTTCCAGACTTTTTATTAATTTATTGTAATTAATTATTTGCATGCAATTAAAAACTAATTTTAAACGATGCCAAAGAAGGATAACTTCTCACGCGCCTACATAAGTACACGCACCCATTTTTTTTTTTATTTAAAGACAATATTATTTAGCTTTCTTTCCTTTTTTATAATAAGCAATTTTATTGCTTTTATATTCAGTTCAATTCGAATCGAAAATATTTTTATTTTATTTTCTGTAGTAGGGGAAAGATAACAAAATGCGCTTAAGTGACGACGACTCGTGGTTCAACGTCTTCACTCGTTACGTTACGGTAGTCGCAGTTGCATAATCGATACCATCGATCGTTTACTCACGATTTTCAGAACGATCTGGATCCAATCCGTGAATGACATTCTTTACTATAATAATCATCTTACAAGAAACATGGTAAATTTTCTTATGATTTTGATCTTAAAGTCAGAGGTTTATTTTTAAGCATTTAACTGCTAGTAAGATTTATAAATCTCAAGATATTTTTGAAGTGAAAACTTCTATAATATCGTTGTGACTTGAGATTCGATGAAACGGAAGTAGAGTATTTGACATAAGATAGGTATCCGTAATTTTGATCATTTACTACAAGAGACAGATAGCCAAACGGTAACGGTATTGGGGTCGAGACAAAATGTCCTCAATGTCTAATGGTTGTTGTTGTTGGTCCTCGGTGAGGTGAGGTTCGATCCTGAGCTCGGTGATTTTTTTAATTGTTTTAATCGTGTTTTTTTTATAATAGCTTTAAGCCTTCCTTGATAAATGCACTATGGAACACAATAGTACTTTTTCGAATTGGACAAGTATTTAATAATAAGAGCATGGACCAATGATAAGGTAGATACACTTTTTTTAACAGCAGAGCAGTGGTGCATTCTTTACAACGGGTCCTAAACTACGCAACAAATTTTTCACTATCAGTTAAATATTTTTTATTATAATACGATTTTTAGGCGTCTTCACTTTGAAAATGCAATCCATCAGAAAAAAAACCTTTTTGTAATTACATCATAGGACATACCAAACACACTAATTTCACACCCAATAATTTTAATGATACAAATCTCGAATTGTCGAAATTTAACACATACCTTTAAAAAAAACAGGTTTCTAGCAAGTTTGTTGTTGAAAGAAACACTAGTTGAGTTAATTGCCGCCCAGCGACCGACCCCTTGAGCAATGTTACGGCTCATGAGCTATATTACATGCGTGCGCGCAACCATTAACAATGAAAGTGCAACGCGGTCATTAATTGGGTTGCTTTGACGACCCTTGTATTGCGAAGTAGGTTTTATTATGTTTCTACTTATTTCTTTCCCAAAGAGTTTTTCGCGAAACGACTGAAAGTTAAACAATTGTCAAACCGTGATGTAACTGAAAGAAATGTGAAAGAAAATTCCTTTGATGGTCAAACTTAAAATTGTCAAAAATAATAAGTAATAAGTCCGTGCCTCATAATGGATAATTTATTTATAACTAGCGGGCGCCCACTAGTTAGTCCGCGTTAATTTTAGTGCTTTGAGAATCCCAGAGGAAAGTTAAATTTTTACCGGATAATAAGTATTATATGTCTCAATCTAGGTCATAAACTACACACATCAAAAGTGTCTAGGGATCAAGCATTTTTATGCGGATTTCTTGAGATTGAGATGTGGCTTTGTAATAAATTTATGATTTTATAAATTTATATGGATCCTTTTTGGTGCATTTCATAATTTGAATCAGGAACTGTGAATCAAATTCGAGTAAAAGATGAAAATCAGCTGTCAATATTTTCCCTATAAAAACATACAACGCATTGAAGACATTATTAGTGCTACTGTTTCCCTACTACTGATTAAAACCAACGTTATTATGGAGCGGCGACGTCATTTAAGCAGGGAAGAAATGCTCAGAGCCGTGGGAATGATAGAAGCTGGTTCCCGGCAACGTACTGTGGCTTTAGCTCTGAATACAAGTCAGAGTGTTATCAGTCGACTTTGGACACGATACCGAAGCACTGGTACCGTGGCTGAGCGCCATGGAGGACGGTATCGCTGCACCACACGGAGACAAGACCGATACATTCAAATCTTAACTCGAAGAGCTCCAACAATAACCGCCATGATGTTAGCCGTGAGGCTTCATCACTCTTCAGGGAACTTAATTAGCGACCAAACAGTCAGAAACCGCTTGCATGAAGTGAACCTTCATTCCCGAAGACCGCTACGGGTACCACCTATAGCAATGCACAATCGTAGGATTCGATATCAATGGGCTCTTGAACACAGAAATTGGGCAGAAGAACAATGGCGTTTCGTGTGCTTTTCTGATGAGTCTCGTTTTGGTATGAGACCGGATACAAGACGTATACGACACTGGAGAACCCCTGGACGCCAACAGCGATTAAAATCCTGCCAGGAAGTCCATCCTTATAGTGGTGGAACCATCATGGTATGGGCGGGTATTTGGATCGGCGGAAGAACTGAGTTGATTTGGATCAGAGGCAACCTCAACGCTCAAATTTATGCTGAGACGATTGTATCAGACGTCATCGTTCCTCTACAAGTGCAAATCGGTCCCTTATTTCAGTTAATGCATGATAATGCACGACCGCACACCGCAAGAGTTGTAAGACAGACTCTCGCCGCAGCTAACATCAATGTCCTGCCCTGGCCTGCTCAGTCGCCAGACTTGAACCCGATTGAGCATGCATGGGATATGCTACAGAGAAGAGCTCTGCCGAATATGGAGGGTATCCAGTCGCAAGAAGACCTTTTTTTGTTGTTGCAACGAACATGGGCGGCCATTCCACAGCGTGATTTGGATGAACTCATTTTGAGTATGCCAAACCGATGTTCTTGTGTTGTTAGTGTTCGCGGTAGAAATACGGATTATTAATTGTTTAAGTTACCCAATAAAATTTTAGAGAAAACTGTTATTTCAGTCTTTTTTTCGAACTTTTGTGTTAGTGGTTCAAATGTCAAAAATCCCTTTATTAGGAAAATGGCAAATTTCTTTATTAATGCAAAGGTGACTTGGTTTATCGTTACTGTGACAAACGAAAACACTTTATTTGATGAATCCTTAAAGAAAATTTTAATTAATATCAATCAGGAGAAAAGTTATTGCAAAAATATATGTTGATCCCTAGACACTTTTGATGTGTGTATTTGTGTGCAAAATTTTATCCAAATTAAGTTTAGTAGCATGATTGAATACATTCACATCACAATACAAAATCACATTTATAATCTTAGTAGGAAGTAGGATATTACTCTGGAGGTATATATGTTTATATATTTTAAAGGGTTTAGGACAGAGATAAGAGGCTATATTTTTATAAGATCAAACGCTAAAGCAACATTTTAAGAATAAAAATAAGCAAAGAAAATCAATTATGTGGCACACTTCATCAAATATACGGTACAGATAAAAGTAGCCGTGAGTAATTTGTTGTTAATCGCTTATTTTTGAACTTCAAAGTATGAATGTCACTAGTATAAGCCCTCAGGTCTTGTGATAACTATAATACCTGTTAAAAGGGTGCAAAATTGCGTATGGCGTCTGATAGTAAGCGACCACCATAGCCTATATTGCGATACCAAATATTCCACTCGCACAGTTGCCTACCCTTCTTACCCCGGAGAGGCCTGGAACCTTACTCACCGACAGAAACACAACACCACCAAAAGGTATTATTTTACTGTGATCTTCTGTACGGTGGAGATTACTTCCCCAGACGGTGCTCAAATTAGCCGCTATGCAAAATAATAATATATTTATTTGAAAATTGTTTCCTTTGCAGCGCACGCAGGCATCCTGCTCGAACACGCGCCACAATGCCCGGAGCAACACGGAGTACAAGTAAGTTGTTAATTTTCATGAACTCTAATTCATAACAATAATGATTTTAAAGTCTAACCCCCTTATTAATAAACTAGGAATATGCTTAGACTAGTTATACCGTGTTTTGTTTCTATCACTCAAATGCCATTTGTGATTCAACGAACAGAGACAAAACATAGAGTAACTAATCCCAGATTATTCTTCGTTTATTAATAAGGGGGTAAATGTGCCGTTACACGCATTGTAAGCTCTAACATCTTAAAGATCTATTCTCAGTTCGTAGATGTAGTCATTACTTCACAATAAAATTCTTTAATAAAACAAACATGATTAATTAGCAACGAAAATGGTTTCTAGTGGTTAGTTAAGAATTCTCATTTTGGCAGTTCTTACTTTGATCAATTTATTAAGTATAAAATGGAAAATTGTTGCTCAAGTTATCAGTTAAGAAGAAGTTATTACTTTAACTTGTTTATAAATACGACGGTTAAGTACTTGTTGAGAAACACTGACAAAAAAACTTAAAAATACCTGCATATTTCTTCTTACTTACCGCCTGGACTACTTGCCATATTTCTGTTCGACTGTTTAATCAAAGACCATATTGAAAAGGAGTGCTGAAAGCTCAAATATTAAATTAAAAAAATATTAAACAGATTACCATGCGCTAAACACATATACAAACTCTTTCACAGAAGTAGCTCACGCACAATATTATTATTCATAAGGCCGCGGCTAATAAACCAAAATAAGAATTAAAAAGGTAGAATTATGGCCCATGGGTTGGCGTTAAGAAAATGTTCCAAGTGGACGATAAGCGAAAGAAGTTTGAGAACCACAGCTCTAAGGCCACGTCTCGAAGTAGAGATCGAATCAGAGTAGGCACTAAGTACTAAAGTGATACTCGCTGACGCAAGGCCTTAAAAGCGTTTGTGCCCATTCAAAGCTAAATAATGTTTGTATTTTATATTTCAGGCGTATGCACACCCGGAGCTATGCGACCAGTTCTTCCTGTGTACCAATGGCTCCTTGACCGTGGAGACTTGTGAAAACGGCCTCTTATTCGACGGCAAGGGTGCCGTGCACAACCACTGCAACTACAACTGGGCAGTCGACTGCGGTGAAAGAAAGGCTGACTGTAAGTTTACAAAACATATCTTGTGATCGAATTTCGTTATTATGCAGAAGACTTTTTATGTTTCGTTTTTAGATAGGCAAATGATTCTAGCCTTCATGATTTTCAGTGGTGGTGGAATCCAAACGCGAAAATAAGTAATTTATAGTTTTGTCTACTGTATCTAATGACCTTGACTGTACCAGCTACTTTTGTGTTAACAAAATGCTTCACAACACTGTCTTAAAGGTCCCAGATTGTGTCGCCCCCAGACTTAGTATTCTATGGTTTCTTGCGAGACATTGTGGACTTGTTATTCTGTGATTGCTGATTGTTACATGTCGGCCCTTATGTCGTCATTTTCCTTGCGAGGCATAGCAAAACATCGAATTTAGAAAACCATGAGTCAGGAACCTAAGAATATGTGTTCCGACGTCTGGAAACAATAGTGACGGATCAATAGCATTCCTAATCCCTGAAAAAAACTTCATGGAGATAATCGTGCTGTTAAAAATGCTTTTGCATGTATATCATCATAGCTTTAAGTAGAGCGAGGTATTTCATGCATAACATACATGACAGCAGATCTAGATATACAGCAAAGATTAGAACTAGATATATATTATTTTGTCTATAGATATTATATACTTATTTATTATAACTATCAATTAATTTTCCAATCAAACCAATTTTGTCATCTTTCATTCCAGTGACGCCATTATCATCGCCCGGGTGCGAGTACCAATTCGGCATCTACCCTGATAGCGCAGACTGCTCAACCAGCTATATCAAGTGCGCCTTCGGTATCCCGGAGCAGGAACCGTGCACGCCGGGTCTGGTGTACGACGAGCGCACACACGGCTGCAACTGGCCCGACCTTCTCCAGCCATTCTGCAACCCTGAAGGTATGTACCAAGTATGCACAACCAGCTACATCAAGTGCGCCTTCGGTATGCCGGAGCAGGAACCGTGCACGTCGGGTTCGGTGTACGACGAGCGCACCCACGGCTGCAACTAGCCCGACCTTCTCCAGCCATTCTGCAACCCTGAAGGTATGTACCAAGTATGCACGACCAGCTACATCAAGTGCGCCTTCGGTATACCGGAGTAGGAACCGTGCACGCCGGGTCTGGTGTACGACGAGCGCACCCACGGCTGCAACTGGCCCGACCTTCTCCAGCCATTCTGCAACCCTGAAGGTATGTACCAAGTGTGCACGATCAGCTACATCAAGTGCGAACTCGGTATTTCGGAGGGTAGGAATAGGAATCGTGGAAGTAGGAATCGTGTATGCCGCGGTCTGGTTTACGACGAGCTCACCCTAGACTGCAACTGGCCCGACCTGCTCCAACCATTCTGCAACTCTTTAAGGCATGTATCCAGTGTGGCATCTACCCTAACAGCGTAAAGTGCTTAATCAACTACATCAAGTGCGCCTTCGGTATCCCGGAGCAGGAACCGTGCACGCCGGGTCTGTTTTACGACGAGCGCACCATCGGTTACAACTGGTCCGACCCGATCCAGCCATTCTGCAACTCTAAAGGTATGTACCCAGTTCGGCATCTACCTTGACAGCGCAGAGTGCTCAACCAGCTACATCAAGTGCGCTTTTGATATCCCGAAGCAGGAGCCATGCACGCCGGGTGCAACCATGAAGGTATGTACCCAGTTCGGCGTCTACTCTGGCAGTACACAATGCTTAACTGTATAATGGGTAAATATACCCCGACAACAAAAGCTCGTCAAGCTACATAAAGTACGGGGTTGCCATCATTTTTGAATTCTGTGTGTCGCTGTGACCCTGTTTAGCTTTAGCACCGCTATATGATATATCACGTCTAACTGACAAACTCCATATTACTTTGACAATTGAGCATAATAATGAGGGCGTGGGCTCACGCTAGGGGCGATAGATAGATAGCTTCCCGAATTGTTCATTACAGAGTGCGTAATTTTTCTTTGTTGAGTCGAATATTTTAATTATTGTCGAATGTTTTCATTATTACGCAGTTTAGCACAAATACTGCGTTTTCGTATACTTTAGTTTACTAACTATGAAATCAGAGTAATGTTTAATGATATTGCAATTGCAAAGCTATGCTCCATTCAAGTAGTAATTACGTAGTTAAAAATACAATGCCAAAAGATGACAATGTAAGTTGCCAATGACTACTGCTTAAGTTAATAACGGATACATGATTCACAATCAGAAACGTATATTAAAAATGACTAATTTTCTCTTCAACAGCGGTGGTAGGCTTCAAGTGCCCCACCAAAGTACCGTCCAACACTCAAGCGGCCAAGTTCTGGCCCTTCCCCCGTTTCCCCGTGCCCGGAGACTGCCACAGGCTCATCACTTGCGTGGAGGGCCAGCCCCGCCTCATCACCTGTGAAGAAGGCAAGGTCTTTGACGACCAGAACCTCACCTGTGAAGACCCTGAACTTGTACCACACTGTAGCCACTGATCGCTAAAAGAAAAGCTTTTGTAAACAAAAGGGAAACGAAACTATGGAATGACATCTCTACATCATGAGATTAAATCAAACCAGATTCTTCTATCAAATTAAAGTTAAATACCTAATCGATTTAATCAGATGAGTTCTCCCTCGATTAAAGCGAAAAGAAGATGTCAATAGTTTCGCTTTCATTTTAATAGAAGATGAAGAAAATTATGTTACTTTTATAATACTGCGGTAACACGATGCATAATATGGAACTCACGATGCAATGATATTTAAATGTGACTTGTGAAATCGAGGCCTTGACCATAATTCCAATTGACAGCGCCCTTAGCCACAGAAATATTATTCATAGTTCAAGTTATGGTCTCGATTGTAAATGTATATATATATATGCATCTACAGTTTCTACCACATATTTTATTGTGCATTAGTTGAACCACAGTATTATATAAGTACTCTGGAAGCTCTTCTACTATCCTATTAATATGACGTTGCAATGCACTATTAATGGTTTCAATGGGAAGCGTACCTGTCTGAAATCATTGCGATTATTTTCCTGTAAAAAAGTTTGCGTTGCGATGTCTCACCACAAGTAGGTATCATGTCATCTTTAGCTTCTGTATCATAAGGCGAAAACGAATTATAGGAAAACAAAACATTCATGTCATCGTCAATATGAATTGACTATTTTCACTGTTCTCTCTCTCTCTCTCTCTCTCTCGCATATAAAAAGGAGTATGGTAAATGCACCAATGACCTACAAGAATCAATGACCGACCGAGTAGTAACTCGTTGTTTCCATATTTAGTGATCGATCACCTAATCTTATTTTCATTGATCATAGAAAAAAAAACAATTCTTGGTTCTTATCGGTCGTTGGTACCTTAACAATAATTAATAAAATATATTTATAATTGATACTGCTTTTTATCAATTATTCTGAGAACTCTTCAAGAGAACCTGGTCGACTTCTCTATCTCCAAAAACAGTATTTATGTAATAGTAGAAAAAAAATGATATATTTTGCTACGTTTTCGTATTGTGATACTAAACTTTGTATATGAGCGAATTTTAATTTAATATATACGTAACTATTTCTTGGAATATTTTCCACCGAAAAAAAAAACTATTTATTACTATTAAAGTGTGATTCTCCAGCCAATTTCAGTGAAACTGTTACCAAATGCAGTTGATTCGAGCGTGATATTAGTTACCGTAGAAATATATAAATAAATAAAAAATATATCAATGTAATTTATGTAAAAGTTCCAATATTATATACCTATTGAGTATATATTTCATGACTCTGTAAATATTGCGAAAACATAAGAATGTAAATAAGAATTTATGTGTGAAATAATAAATTGACTTAACAAGTTCACATTATTTGTTTGATACATATTTCCATTTTTAAGAAGGGAGGCGGGCATTGTTTTTTTCCATAAAAACATTCTCGACTGATTCCTCCTTGAGTTTTATCACTAAAGAATTGATTTTCATACATAAAATATAATTTTACTCATTCTATGCTCCGACGTCTTCCATTTTTCAAAAACTTGCGTTTTGAAACGCATTTTGAAACGCAAGTTTTAAAGAAAACCTAGAAGACCTCAAAAATGACAAATATTAACGAAGTTTTATTACCAATAAAGATGTCTAGTGTGGATATTCAATAAGCATTTACAAAAAAGCAAAACATAGGAGCCTAGTATAACTACTTAATAGTCTTTAGGTAAAATTTCAATTGCATATATCTAAATGTGGCGTGCAATTGGAGAGGCCTATGTCCAGCAGTGAACTAGGATAAGCTGTTGATGATAAATAAATAAAATAAATATTTCCAACACTTACACCAATTAGCCTAGCCCCAAAGTAAGCTCTATAAGGCTTGTGTTATGGGATACAAAGGTAACGGATCGAATACATATACTGTACATATATAAGTATATTCATATAGAAAATACATATTAAACATCCACGACTGGAGAACAAATGCTCGTATTCATCACACAAACATTTGCCCCCACCGGGATTTGAACCCAGGACCTCTCGAGTCGGCGACACCATGAAACACGATGTACAAACCACTCGACCACGGAGTGGAAAAACATAAATAATAATTTTTATGTTTTTTGATAGAAGATCTGCCAAGTTCTTGAAAACTGATTTGTTCCTGTGTTGTTCAATTTCTTTCTGACTTTTAGAAACCTCAGGCGATGACGATAAAATTAAGGGGGGACGTTAATGATAGTTATGATAAACGCATTATGAATATTAATAATTCTAATCGGAAATCGGTGTCTGGCAACACTACATGCCGATTCGCCTTAAATCTTTATGGTAGGACAGATACCTACTTATTTGATCACACTTTATAATCGTAGTAAAACTTGTTTACTATGCATATACGTAAACGCTTTCAATGAAGAAGGTATTGTCTACAAACAAACCCAAGGTGCAATCACATTTGACTAAAAAGTATGAGCGATGTTCGTTTAGCAAGTGATTAAGAGAAAGAGAAAAAACAACAGGATAACATTTAGAATTTATTAGTCTAACTAAATTAAAGTCTATTGTTCCGCGCTGTGCTCGACGGCCTTTCCTTTACCGGGCCGCTGGGGCTTGCGCCGCGACGGCTGAGATCCAGAGGGTTTGGGCTTCACAGTCGGTGGGTTCTCAAGAGCGTCCAACTCTGCATCAGTGAGCTGCCCTTTGTACCAGTCCGCACTGAAAAAAGACAAACGTATCCCTTTGTAATTATCATATGTCTATTAATGTCCCAACCGCAGGGTCAGAGACCTTCCCCGGAAAACCGGACCGTTTCCAACCATGCGGGCCCAGTGCGGATTAGTGGGTGCTAACGACTATAGATGTAGCCGGGACCAACGGCTTAACGTGCATTGAGAAACACGGAGGATAGTAGTAAGTTTTTGGTTACCCATCCAATGTGAAAGTTGCTTAACTTTCATGATCACAGGCCGAATGCACCTATGCCATCGAGGTCTTCAAATCATTGGGCTCCTGCCTTTTAGTACAATGGTACACTTTTAACATAATTATTTGTTGAAATCTAAGTGGGAATCCAAAAGAAAATCTTATAATTGTGTTACTACTCATTATCCACCAACTTTATTAACTAGATAGAAGTGAATTTCAACAAGTATGATTTTTCATAGTGAAAAAATTTGTACTTATTTTATTAGCGATGTTATACGTTATTGTGGTAAAAAAAATACGTATTTGTATTCATAAAATATGTATAAAAAAACTAAAGTGGTCTTACTTAACAAATTTATTTATCACCAAAATTGCCCTGACTTCTAAGATATATATGTTTTGTACAAGCATTTAAACCTGAACTACTAATAAAAAATGGAATTCTGCATTAAAAAGAACATAATTGGGTCTTTACTTTCAGCTTCGATTTTCAGTAACGACCCCTAAAAATTACGTTTGAGAAATTCAGTCTAATCGACGACCAGGGTAGTACAAAAGCTATTAATTATAATGGCTGACAACCGCTTTTAATAAATGGAAAACTGTAAAGCTGTACGCAGCGATTTCACTCTTGGGGAACGTCTACCGCACGACTCGACTCTCTGGCGAGTCACCGTCGTCAGTCGGTTTTTGGTATACCAAATATAGTGTACCCGGGTAGGTACAGTGTATTTGGATGACATTATAATAATAGTGAATAATAATGACAAGCGGGGCACGCGTCCTCATCGTCAAAATTTTGTATAGAAGGAGCCAGTTTGTTCTTACATCCGGTAGGGGGCGTTTGCTTAGTTTTCATAGAATAGAAACTTTGACGATGCGATACAATTACGGAGCTGTCAAAATTCCTGCTTGGGACTCAGGTATATAGTGGTCTATACAGGACTTGAACGCATACCCAATGAACGTGTGACCAGCGTGTCCTGGTTACAAGCAATGGAACGCGCTATCCGTAAGCATTATAAGTAGGCGCGCAGTAATACTGTGCGGTATCCCAAAAGTTTATAGGACTTCAATAAGATTACATATTCACAACCTTCGAAATAGAGAACTACTTCCGACGAAAGCTCTAATCCAAATAATATTAAATTATATTTTTAGTAAGATTTTTATTTCTAAATGAAATTAAATACCAACCATTCAGGGATTTTCCTGGCCCAATCACACTTCTTGGTGACGTCGTCGAACGCTTGGCCCAGCTTGCAGCCCGAGCGGCGCGGCGTGTTGCCGTTGATGCATACGTAGAAGAACTGGCAGTCTTCAGGGTCCGCGTACCGGGGGTGGGTCAGGCCGAAGGTCTCGTTCACCGCCGGGCAATCGAATTGGAACACATCTGTGGGATGACCAAAAAACAGGTGAAGATGTGCCAGGTGACAATCTAAAAAAAAATCCTTACCTCTCTTACTTTATTCTTTGAAAATTTGATACCGATATCATGGAAATGCCTAAAAAATTATTAGCCTGCCAGCGTGGGTGAGCCGACTTGATTAACCGTGCATTTTCATCCAAAAGTAAACGTGCTTTAAAATTCATTTGCAAGATTTGACCCTAACATTAAAGCTTTAGAAATCAAAACAGCTTTGAAAAGCATATATTGCATACATACAGTACAGAACATAGATTTGAGGTGTCAAATGATAGGGCAGTATTTAGACTTATAGTCTGTTTGCACTTAATTATCTTTATCATTATTTCCAAAGTAAGTATAAAGGTCTTGTGGTAGTGTTGTATTGGTGCAGCAGTATCAGGACGCCAAATTTCCTAGGATATGAAATGTAGTCAAGGCACTTCATGCAAAAAAAGCAAATTACTTAAACACCTGCGGTGTGGGTTAAATACTTAAGTATTCGAAATTAATTTACCAGCGGCGCCGCAGCCCTTCTTCTTGGCCTCATCAGGCCAGGTGCAGATGCCGGTCTTGTCGTTGTACACGAGCCCGTCGGGGCAGGTGATCATGTTGAACTTGCCGTCTACACAGAAGTAAAACTTGCCGCACTCCTTGGGGTCCTCGTGGGAGAAGTAGCCGTGGAGGCGGGGGCAGTGCAACGTCGGCTGGGGTGTTTCTGTAAATGGGATAAGGCGAGATGGTATTATTTATATTATTTTAAACTTTCATGGTCACTAACATTTTGACTATTAACGAGATTGTTACCATGTATCTTGTTTTTTATGAGTCTCCGATATTCCAGCACTGTTGCAAGCACCATGATCAGGGAGTAACAGTTACTTCGCACAAGCGACTGTTGCAAACGTCATGATCACGGAGTAACAGTTAACCCGAGTAATAGTTACTCCGTGACTACGGCGCTTGCAACATTGCGAAATATCGGAGACTCATAAAAGTCATGGTACATGGTAACAATCCGGTTACTCGGAGTAGCTGCTACTCCGTGATCATGGCGTTTGACACAGTGCCGAAAAGAGACTCATAAAAGACAAGGTACACGGTAACAATCCCGTTAACAGCTATAATAGTATTATTTATTCGACGAACTCTGAAGGAACAAAGCTGGAGAAAGCAGATTAATGTTTGTTTGCTATACATATTATTCTGGTACAGTTCGAGGTGGTGGGAGTCTGATATCTATGTGTGTGTGTGTGTGTTTGTGTTTGTGTGTGTGTGTGTGTTGTGTGTGTTGTTTTATTATTATCTTTATCAACTTTAAACTAATCTTGATTTGCAATCTGATCTCATATGTGTACCTGTGTTTCTTTTTCTGTATTATAATAAAACTAGCAGGCGCCCGTGCCATCGTCCGCTTTAACTTTAGTTTTTGAGAATCCCACGGGAACCTAATACTTTTCCGGGATAGAAAGTATCGTATGTCAATCCAGATCGTAAACTATATGCGTATTATATTAATTATTATACAAAAAAAGATAACAGATAATAGGTATTTTAGATATTTTATTGAAATACTTAGATTAAATATTTTTATTCTAAAACATAACACAAAATGGAATAAAAGTTCAGAGCTCTTAAAATATTAGGGAGAATTACCGAAAAGGGAAACATATATAATTCCAGTCTCTCATACGTTAAGATTTTTTGTGATTTTATCTTTTCAAGAAATATTCAGGTACGCTCATTAAAGCACATTATGTACGTCGTCGTAAGTCCATCGACTCCTCCAAATTGACTCGTTTTCTCCGTATATGGCGTTTAATAAAAGACGTTAAACTGTATTTACATAAATACACTTCCCGTTTAACAATTGTTGCCATAACGCTCGGTATATTTAGTGGCGTACAGTCACCCAAGGTCGTTCTTCCCTTGAGAATGGAAAGTTGTTCCGAGTTGATCTGACCCTCGCTTCTAGTGTGTATTGCACTGATGCTGCTTACAGGGTTGACATAACCATAATTACATAACGCATAGGAAATAATATTATTAGGTACCAGTTTGTGTTGTGTGAACATGTACTATTTACCAGCATATAAAAACAAACTCATTTATTTTTTGGCGGTGACGGGAAGAAATAATGCTCAATTAATCACATTTATTATTGCTAATTCTTTTATTGGAGAGCAGTAAGATAATGTTTTATATAGTAATGCATTAGAAATACCTTAAATTAATAGAATAAACATTATACATACTACGATGCGTTTGAAACCGAAACAATGAATGACAGAAAAAAAATTTTTTTTTGCCCAATATCCAACTATCTATCAATTACTGATTCGATATTATGTAGATTTATATTTGACTAGGTGTGCCCCGCGCTTTATTAGGGATATTTTCCCGCAGTTAAACGTAGCCTATGTGCTAATCCAGGGTGTCAGCTAACTCCATACCAAGTTTTATTAATATCACTCCAGCCGTTTAGACGTGAGGAAGTAACAAACCTACACACTCACAAACTTCCGCCTTTATAATAGTAGTGTGATTATAGTTTCACTAGCTGTGCCTCGCGGTGTTACCCACAGTTTATAAGGGATATTTCCCGCAGTAAAACGAAGCTTATGCGTTAATCTAGGGTGTCAGCTAACTCCAAACCAAATTTTATTAAAATCGCTCCAGCCGTTTAGACGTGAAGAAGTAACAACCATACACACTCACATACTCACAAACTTTCGCCTTTATAATATTAGTGTGATTTCGTTAATGGGTGCAAGTGCATATTAGTTCGCGATGACTCCTACGCATGTACTTTTCATGTAAATGTGATATTGCCTATGCATATTATCATCATCAGCCTATTAAAGTCCCCACTGCCGGGGCACAGGCCTTTTCTATTCGCGGGCCTAGTGCGGATTGGTGGGAGCTAACGACTGCAGATGTAGCATGGACCAACTGCTTAACGTGCCTTTAGAAGGAGGAGGAGCTCGAGATGCATATGACCTAATATATTTTGTCTTGCTATAAAGGTAGCTTCTAAGAAACTAAGATTGACATACGTAGCTTAGGCCGCTGGGAGCAATCGATGTTGTAAGGCAGGTCACACTTCTCTTCCTGTGGACTGTAGTCGTTGAAGACCATGCCATCCGGGCAGAGTTTCTCGATGATCTCACCATTTCTAAAATGAAAAAGGAACTTATAAGCAATTATAAGCTAAAGCTTAAAACGGCAAAATGCATATGAGACCTAACTCTGAGAGCATACTCTTCTCCTTTTCTGAACGTGAGACCTTAAAACTTCTACTTACTTGGAATAGACCAAGTGTAGCATTATGCATATGAATCTGACAACTTTCATTTCTTTTGATTTTGTATAAAAGGTATAGGTCTCTTGTCACTTGAGTTGAGCGACACTTAAAATAACAATAATATCAGCTCTCATATTTTATATTTCTTTTCTGAAGAACAGCTTCCACATATTGAAGTTGATCTTCAGAAAAAATGATATAAAATTGAAGCCACGTACTATCATAGTTTTTCCAATTTTTATCTCTGACTTACAAACGAACCCGTTTATGGCTTTCGATGAAGTTTTTTTCATTTTCCACGGCTTTAATCATTTCTAATGGATATGAATATTTAATTAAAAACAACTTTAGAAGCATTGAACGACTAATAATATTTATTCAAACATGGCGAACCCGAACCGAACGGTCCCAAAAATCGCATATAAAGTTGTTTGCCTCAAAGTTTGTTTGGCCGTCGCTGCATAAGTATTCACTTACTGACTGAGCAAATATTGTTTTATGTATTTAGCTCTGTATTGAAATTGAATTTAAATAAAGTCAGCATTCTTATAGTGTTAGTCATTTGAATGAACTGGACGTTCCATTAAATGTTTGGATTAAAGTACCTACATTCTGAATTTTACATAAATATTTACTTTGCTTTCTATACTAGGCACAGCAAATTACCCCACTCCACCTGATGTTAAGTGTGAGTGGAGTCCAGGCGCCATCTCCACCTTGCCGACGTAAATCCAATCTCCTGCCCCATAGACGCCTCCAGCCTACCCACCAGCAGAAATACAACATTAAATAAAACAAGTTTCAACGGTATAGATGCACTGATTTATTTATTTATGATGTTTCTCATCCTTTTCAGGCTGCTTCGTCAGAATTAAGCGCAATTATGACGCAGCCTGAAAAGGATACGAAACGTTATATATAAATCAGTGCATCTATACCGTGCACCCTTGTTTTATTTAATGAGTGGTGTGCGTGAAAATCTAAGAAATAAATATAATACATCACCCAAATGTTGTGTTATTTTAAGTGTTCTTCTGTTTGGTGAGATAACGTTTGGGAGAGGTAGGTCACAACTGATTTTCCCCTTGAATTGGAGCGCTCGCCTGGGGAAGCAACCTCCACATTACAAAAGAGCACATTAAAATAACACTATCTTTTGGTGGTATTGTGTTTCTGCTGGTGATAAGGGTTCAGCGGGCTCTGCGGAGTAGCGGATTGGATTCGGGCTGGCAAGGTGATGTTGATGATGGAGTGGCACACCTTCTTCAAGGTAGGTAGGTAGTGTATGTGGTATCCGGCTGGACTCCACCTACACTTAATGTCAGGGGGGAAGGTGTAATCTGTTGCGCCTCGTTTAAAAAAAGGTAGCTTCCCCAGTCAGGTGCTCCAATTTGATCACTCGCTATATCAACCTCTTTGAATATCATGGTGTAGTCTTGTAGAAGTAGTAAACTAAGGCCCGTATTAAAGAAAGATTCTCAGTGATTGATCTAGTCTTGAGCATAGTTAGAAAGGGATGTCGCTATATAAAACACATAGTGACATTCCCTTCTAATTGTACTCAAGTAAAGATCAACACTTAGTTGTCATTTTGTAATACGGCCCTAAGAGAATGATAGTCTATTGTATAAAAATATCGTCTCATAGTGTTTGCTATCGAACTCCTCAGAAAGAACTTCACCGATTTTTCATGTTTTTCTATTTATTTGGTAAGTTTGAGAGCTCGTCTATATTTTATACCCCTAGATAGTAAGGGTATCTTCTTATCCGACATCCATGCGAAGATAGTAGTGATATTATATTTATTTTGCTAATAACACATCTTCGATTCAAATGATGACTCAGTCTCAAGTGACATTTACAACGCTAAGTACACCAGTGATGCTATGATGTGAATTAAAGTATGTAGTTGTTTCAATAAAAAACTTGCTATTCACCTGCATTCATAGTACTTGTCGCACTGTTCTGCGTCAGCGAAGAAGCCGTCGTCGGGGCAGGAGTTGGTGATCTCCGCGTCTCTGTCGGCGTCCACGGCGGCGGGACGCGGGGGCGGATTCGCGGGCTTCTTGCGCGGATTCTTTGGTACTGCTGATGAGGCTAACACTGAAAAACAAATGACGACATATAATAAATACCAAAGAGACGGATTTGGCGATCTAATTGGAGCGCCCGTTTGGAGACTAACCTTCTCTTTACAGAAGACTACAGTAAAATAACAGTTCCTGTTGGGTGGTTTTGTGTGTCTGTCGGTGAGTAAGGGTCCAGTTTTCCACTGGGTAAGGACCTACCCTGAGGTAGGCAACGGTGCGACTGATATTTTTGAAGTGAAACTTATTTAGGCAAGCTTGACTTGGGGGTTAAACTGGCGAATGTGTGACGATTTTTGCGTTACGCGCGTAACCCGGTGACTCATCGGCAAACAATGAACAATAAATACCCTTCACAAAATACATGAATAGTTCATGAATCAAAATACTAGTGCTTGGTGGGAGATAACGGACCCAGCGCGGATTGGTGGGTGATAAAAGACCCAGCGCGGATTGGTGAGTGATAACGGACGCAGTGCGGATTGGTGGGTAGTAACGGATCCAGCGCGGATCATTGGAGTTAAAGAAGTTTCACTTCAGTCGTGTGGTCATAAGCACACTCGCTTTTTTTGTTATAGGTTATGGTTAGGCCCTTTGTGATCAGGTGTGCCATACGCCTGATTGTCACCCTTTTACCTGCATCTGAAAACACTAGTTGGTTGGTGGGGTTTCTTCAAAGTATCGAGTAAAAACGTGTCTTTGAGGAACACCGTATTGTGAAGTAGCACAATGCAATTACGCTCACAGTTCTTAGCAGCAGGAACACATTTTAGCCAGCTTATCCCAAATCTATTTAAAAGGGAAGATAAAGTTGCTTTTCTTAATTTTTCTGGTTTCTGACGATTGGTTTAAAATAAAAATTACCTTTTGCAAATATTGCGTGGAACCGTTAAGTGTAAGAAATTTGAACCATTTATGGTCCCATCCCCATCTGAATACAAATATTTGTGAAAGTTCCTCTAGTTTTGTTACAACTAGTCATTCGTATACTGACTACGTAAATTCATGACAGGCTGTTTACTTCGAATGCCGCCAACAGAATTAATAAGGGGTAACTTAAATCTCTTTTTTGACATTTAGAAAGTGTTGTGAAAACGTAATACGTTAAGAAACTTTCACTTGGCTCATTTCAGATTAATCAGTCGCAAAAAGTTAACGAGTTTTTGATATTATCGAAGTATTTATACCTATATTAATGACCTCCTTGCTCGAGCACTGGTTTTTTTGTAGCCGCTTTTAAGGGGATAATAAATAATATACTTTAGAATTAAACCTCCTTGCCCATAAGTGCGGTATTATCGGCCAATAATATTTGTTACGTTATTTCATCATAATTCTATTGCGGCGTTATTATCGCAGCAGTGTGTAACTTCGTAGCTGTTCTCATACATAATATACTAAAAACAAATATCGCAATAACGCATCCGATACTATCGACCGATAATAACGCGAATATGGATAGGGGAAGGGATTATAAGTACTTACTATAGCAAGCTTTCTTAATTTTTGGTGTATATGTTGTTACGTCTGTTTATAATTAAGGTTAAAAAAAGTTTTGACATGACATCATCATCATCAGCCTATTAATGTCCCCACTGCTGGGGCACAGGCCTTCCCTATGGATGGAATAGGGAGATAGGGCCATGACCCACCACGCGGGCCAAATGCGGATTGGCGGGTGCTAACAACTGCAGATGCAGCCGGGACCAATGGCTTAACGTGCCTTCCGAAGCACGGAGGAACTCGAGATAAAAGATTTTTGGTCACCCATACAATGACCGACCACTGCGAAAGTTGCTTAAATTGAACGATCGCAGCCGAACGCGCTAACTACTTGCGCCATCGAGCTCCTCTTGACATGACATGGTGGCAGAGAAATAAATGCGATCAAATCATTAATTATGAGGTTTTCAGAGCCACACGTTCCTGGTCAAAGAGTATTAATGACGTTTTAGTAAAAATAAACTTTGACACTTTGTCAAAAATAAAAAAACAAACAGGTTGAAAGTTCAATTAGGAAACTGCACCAATTAGTTTTTTTAACAATGGCAAAATAGCTATTGAAATGTTATTGCAATCACTGTGACAAGTTGGGCTTTTCAAACCACATTTGCATTAATTAATATGTCAATCAAGAAATGCTTTAAATAAAAGAAAGATCAGGCACACTCGTATGAGGAAGTCTGCGCGCCAATGTGAACTACTTTTTAACAGTCAGTGTTACGCACGCGACGGCTTTGTGACCGTGCGAAGACCTAGTTTGTGTCACTGTACCGATTACTGAGGTCCGCTAAGCATTAGTTATGACCCCATTTTGAGTGCAATCCCCTACAAAAGTATTCGGAATATTAGAGACGATATCATACAGATAATATGAAATTAAATTAAATGTTATTAGACAGACAACTTATGATTGAATTTTAATACCTATTATTTTTTCAAAAATTAAATTTCAAAAGTTAAAAGTTAAATTATTGTTAACAATTTTTTTATTACTAAAGAGCCGACTCGTTTCGCAGTCGGTGTAGACTATATAGTCTACGCATAAATAAGATGAAGCTAAAATTCGCTATTGAGATTTGGATAACTTGTATTGTCGACTGTATTAAGAACGCTTAATTATAATGCAACCTAATTTAAATGATAACAACTAGTAACACAGCTTTGAATATTTTGAAATTTTCATTTGAAATTGCTCTCTGAATTTAAGAGAAACGCTCTTGTCGGTGTAGTCTACGGATCTCCCGCCATCTCTCTCTGTCCTTCGCCAGCTCTTTGGCCCCCTGAACGACTCGCCGCCAGCTTTCTCCTTAATTGTTTTAGTGTAATATATCCTCGTTCATCTCCTTCCTCTCTTTCTCTCATGGATATTTTTGATAAATTCGTCTTATCGAGTAAAGCTCTCTTTCGTTCACAACCTCCAATACCCTTTCATCTGTAAATTTTTCGGTCCAACTTATCCTTTCCATCCTTTTTCAACACCATATTTCAAATACTTCCAATATTTCTCTAGCCCCTTGTGTCATATATAGCGAGCAATACTCCAACAGTATGTTTTCACCTCTTGGTTAATGTGAATCACAAGTACTGGTAATTGAATTCTAAAGAGGAAAGCAACACAGTTGCTGGATATTAAATTAAATATACCAGTTTACTTAAAATGCCTTATTAGAAATAATGAATATAAACGGATCTATCATAGAAAAAAATACTTTGTATATGCACATAGCATCATCATTTACGGAAACACGCTTTTAACTGTTTTTGAAACATCCGGCTACTTTT